CCCTAAACCCTAAATCAAAAACCCGAAGTTTGGAGATTCAGGTTCTGGTGTTAGGAGGATCCGTGTTACCTTCGCTGTGTTTAGGGCCTGGGTGGGGGACGGGAGGATGGAAGTTCTGGGCCCTCGAAGACTGCTTAGGGTTTAGGGTTTAGGGTCTAGGGTCTAGGGTTTAGGGACAACGCAAGCCGAAGCCCGGCGATTCAAAGTTTAGGGTTTAGGGTTTAGTAACGTTATAAGTACCATAATTGGCAAGGGTTATAAGCAAGTATGAGCATAGTTACCCAACAGTAACCCTAGGTACTAAGTCCCATAAGTGGGGGTCACAAGAGGATAGTTATAGTTATTACCTATTTTCGGGGACCTATGACCCACTTATAACCAACCAAGAACCTCCAAGTACACTTGCCTCCGAAGCCCCGAAAACCCTAAACCGCTGTTCCATACGGCCCTTAAACCCTAAACCCTAAACCCTAAACCCTCCCCAACTTACGGCACTGAGGGCGAACCTCCTGAGCGATCCCACGGATCCGAAGATACCGACGGCGGTGCACATAGACTTGGCGCAGCTTGGACTCTACAAGGGTTTAGGGGTTCGGGGTTAGGGTTCGGGTTTAATTTTAGGGTTTAGGGTTTGTGTATAGGGTTTCGGGCAAAATACGCTGTAGGAGTCTTGAGAGCGCATTTAAACACCGTGTGTTCGGAAGGAGGTTAAAGGTGTCTTGGGTTTGCCGGACGGCTCTTCATTCCCGGGAGGGAACCTCTGTACGCCACTCCTTCAACATTAAAGGTCTAAGTTATCCCCTTTTGGTCCAAAACCGTGAAGATCGAATTTTGTCTAGTCCTGCGTCTGCGGGCAGAGATGCCCGCCGGCGGTTTTTGCCGCACAGACAAGCAACCACAAATGAGAGTCCGAAGCGTTGCACCAAACCGCAAACCCTAACACCTAAACCTAAGGCAGGAGCCTAAATAATTACCAATCCTATTTTGGGGTTCCTTATTATTATTGTTAATAATATACCCAAAAACCCTTTTCTAGGTGTTAAAGCCCCTGCATTAGACCATGGAACTGAAAGCAAGAAGAACACCACCTTAACTCCGAAGCCTTGAATCCAAAGCCTTGAACCCGAAGCCTCGAACCCTAAACCTTGAACCCTAGACCTTGAACCCGAAAACTTAAGCCCTAAACCCTGAACCCTACGATCCACAGCTCTGGGGCCTCCGGTAGGTAGCCTTGTAAAGCACTTGTCAGACGCTAGGGTTTAGGGCTTTGGGTTCAGGGTTTAGGGCTCAGGATCTACAAAGCCCTAATCTTAGAAAAACCCTAAACCCTAAACCCTAAACCTTTCTAGGCGCGGCTATTGAAGAAGAGAGCTACTGAGTAAGCCCTAAACCCTATACGAAGCGTATCGACTGAGCCCCAGGCACATCCTGCCAAGCCATGTGGATACGCTGCTATTCGAGCTTCTGTGGCCAGGCCAAAGGATAGCGTTGATGACATAAATCCTGCATTACCCAAAATAAGGCATTGGGTTTAGGGTTTAGGGTTTAGGTTGCCCATACCCTAAACCCTAGACCCTAAACCCGACCCATAATAAGGAATATACAATAATCTCCATAGTTGAGGGTTCTTAAGGTAATGCAGGGTTTATATCATCAACAGTAGGGTGGAGTGGCTATAGGCTGGCACCTGTGCCTGTGCCTAAGCCCTCAACCCGAGATTTTGCCTGTGTGTTTAAGACGAATAACAAACAGAAAGATGCATAGCTAGATAAACACATGACGAAACAATGCACTGTGCACTTGATTAGGTTCTGGGTTTCAAAGGCTCTTTTCAAGCTAAGTACTCAGTGATGAACATTAGTACTTTACAAGTAGGCAATCATACAATACCGAGTCACTAAGCACTAGCAGCATTAGCTGAATTCGAAGATGTTGACTACCTGCTTGATTGCGTAGGAGACAGCAATACAGACGAGCTGATGCTGCCTGTGCTGAGGTCCCAATGAAAGCTCAAAGCAATGATTCAAGCTAGCAGTGCCAAGTATCAGGAAGGACTTCGAAGGGGGCGGCAACCGAAAGACCTATAGTAGGAGCCATACATACGCATTGTGCGAAACATGGTTCATCATCCTTTTTTCAAGCTTGTTTAGAACCACGGCCGGCAGCCATACTTCAATGCGGCATTCGTGTTTGCACGTTGTTCAACATGTTTTGTCGAGTAGCACTAGCACTTTGGCTGCGTGGCATGAGCGGAGAAGGGAATAAGAGATTCTGTGGGCCTTTAGGGGGCCTGTAGCATCTATGTGTATATATATATATATTTAATTTGTTTATTTATTGATACATATACATATATGTGTTTGTATTTATTTTGTTTATCTGTACCGGCATATTAGTACGGCTTTCTATGTTCCTGAACCGGAGCCGATGCCATGCACTAACAAAGGAGCTTCAATACCTTGAAGGGTGGAATTTCCCATATGGCAGATACACACAGAGCCCGAACTAAGTTTTGGCATGGCATACCCGAAACTGCGCGGCTCTTTACCAAATCCGAAGCCTTGAAGCCCAACAGTCGAAACCGGCAGTGTCAAACCCTAAACCCTAAACCCTAAGTCGGGCGCGTCTTGAGTTTAGAGCTCTTTGACCGAAAACGCTCAGCCTTACCTGCGGCCTGTGGATCCTTCAAGCTTCCTTTCGGTTTAGGGTTTAGGGTTTAAGGTTTAGGGTTTAGGGTTAAGGGTTTGGGGTTTAGGGCGTATGATCATGGGGGCCATCGCCGACCCTTTCTAAGATCTGTGGCGTAGATCCTAAACCCTATCAGAGGGGACCCTGGCGGTTCGTTATTTTTGAGCGTGGCGTCTTTTTCCTTTACCCTCAAAGGACTCGTATTTTAAGGCTTTTGGGCCCAAAGACCCTATTGTATAAGGCTTTTGGGCTATTTTGATGCCAAGGGTTTCTCTTGCAGTGCACAAACAGGGGGCCCAAATGTTGCAGCCCCAAGCCCTTGAACCCGAAACCTACAGCTCAAACCCCCTATGTGTAGACCCCCAAACCTTGCAGAATAGTGCAGTAAGTTATGACCCCTGAGTTATAAGGTATAAGCTTCCAAAGCCACTGGTATGGCTAAGCGTTTCGGGATTTGGGTTTACTGTAGGGTTTGCAAGCTAGGGTTTCGGGTTAAGGGGTGTAGGGTTTAGGGTTTAGGTTTAAATGTATCTTCGTCCCCACTGCCCAGTTACCAAAGACTGCGGCTCGAGGTGCAAAGGGCCAAAGGCCTAAAGATCAGTTTTGAAGGTCCGGGTCAAGTTTCCTTAACAGACAACCGCATGAACCTTCAACATCCGTCAACCACCTGTGCCGATGTTATTTCAGCGTTTCCTACTCTTAATTATCTCTCTATGGATACTGATGAATTAATGTAACACTAAACCCTAAACCCTAAACCCTAAACCCTAAACCCTAAACGCACTAACTAAAGAGCCAAGGATTGTGGGCATGCTGCGAGACACGCACAACTGCGAAGTCTACCACCGACGGAAGATCGACTTCTTCTTCATTGAGATCCCGAACACCCCAGGCTTCGAGATGTTTAAAGGTCCAGGGTTTTTTGGGTTTTTTTGGTTTGGGGTTTTAGGGTTTAGGGTTTAGGGGTTTTTAAGGTCCAGGGTGTTTTTGGGTTTTTGGAGTCTGGGGCTTTCGGGTTCAGCGGTTTCCGTGTGCGTTGAGGGGCTTGGGGGGTTGTGGGTTTGGTTTGTTGTTGCCGGAAAAACCCTAAACCCTAAACCCTAAACCCTAAACCCTAAACCCTAAACCCTAAACCCTAAACATTGTGTTCCTTTTCCCACTGTTCTAGGCTTGGCAGCTGGGGGTTGGTTGCGTCCTCTCTTCCGGCTTCAACGGTCGGGCAATCGCGGGGCCTTAACGTTTTTTTGCGATCTGTGCCTATTTTGGTTCTGTTGGGTACGTTTAGGGGGCTCGTGATTTGCAGTTTGTTCTAAACGTTCCGAAGGCTCCGTCCAAGTAGGGGTACTGGGAATTCGACTTCTTTACGAAAAGATTGCAAGGGAAAAGGGAAGCCAATCCAGGGCCAGTCTCGGGGCACGTGATGTAGGATGTTGAACAACTACTGTACCGCATCTTGAAGAAAGACCGGTGCTAGTCGCGGAGCTTTCTGAAGGTACTTCGTTGCTAGTCATGGGGCTTTCTGAAGGTACTTCCAAAAACCTTTCAGCATTTGCCTCGAGTGATGCGGAGGATTGTTATGTTCGGATCTGTGTTGGGTTGACGGTCCCCAGCAAATCCCCAAAGAAAACTCCCTTCAGCGCTAAACCCTAAACATAAGTGCGCAGTTCTAAATTAGGGTCCCTTTTTGGGTCCCCAATATAGTACGGCACCCTTAAAAAAGGGCACCCAAAAGGGACCCTAATTTAGAGAACTACCACCCTAAACCCTAAACCCTAAACCCTAAACCCTAAACCTTAAACCCTAAACCCTAACCCTAAACCCTCAACATAGAATTCTTCACTGGTGCCGGCCTGCAGGGCAGCCTCTTACAAGACTCTGAATCCTCCGAACCAGCGATTCCCAGACCTCCAAGCCCCAAGCCCTTTAGGGTTTAGGGTTTAAGGTTTTGGGTTTAGGGTTTAGGGTTTAGGGTTTAGGGTTAGGGTACACTTCGAAACAACCATATTGGTTTTTAGGGTATAGGGTTTAGGGTTTAGGGCTGATGAAATAAATCCTGCATTACCTTAAGGACCGTAGACTATGGGAAGTATGGTATATTCCTTATTGTGGGTAGTGCAGGGTTTAGATCATCAACCGTAGAATTTCTACCGGAGCCCGGCACAGGTGAGTCGACAGCCAAGCAGCTGTCTTTCTGCTTGATCTTGCCTCGAATATTCCTGCCTCGGGGCTGCAAGCTGCAGGAGTTTACGGTTCTTATTTTTGGGACAAAAGAAAAATTACCTATACTATTTTGGGTTTTCCTTTTTAAATTTATAGTACAATATACCCCCAAACCCTATTCTAAGTATTACGATCCCTGTATTACAAGGAGTCTAGGGGTTTCAGGGCTTTGGGCTTAGGGTTGCAAGCTGTAGGACGTTGCCGGGCGTTGATGGGGGGTCTCAGAGGGTTTGGTGCGGTTTATGAGATTTAGGGTTTAGGGTTTAGGGTTCAGGTTTCGGGTTTAGGGTCTAGTGTTTAGGGTTTAGGGTTTAGGGTAGAAGCCAGAAGGCAGGAAGATTGGTATCACTCGTCACCAGAAGCCGAGAACAGTCGGCAAAGAATCATAGTGCCTCCCTTGGCTGTATTCCAGCTTCGCTGCACATTTAGAGAAGCCGATGTGCTTGAACTAAGCAGCGAATGTATAATGCATAAGGGGCCTTGTCATGATCTAGGGATACTTAGGTAATATCTTCCTAATGCACGGTGTGTTGGGTTCTGTGGGTAGGGGAACTAAGACGGGGTTTGGTTTTGCTCCGTCTCGTGAGTAGCAAATCCAATCTAATCGAAAATTTAAGGTGTAGCGTCAGGGGTAGTTACCACGGTGTATCAACAAGAAGAGCACCCTCTAAACCCTAAGCCGTGAACCCACTTGAGTCTTAAACCCTACACCCCAAACCCTAAACCCTAAACCACCTTATCTAAGAAATAAGAACAGATTTCTATCTTCTAACGTTATGAGTTTGTTTGGGTGGGTGGGTATTTCCCAGTTTTGAAGAACTGGTTGGACCAGGGAGTGCTCGATCCGGAGCTGCGGAACCCT